AAAAGAAGTTGGTCACGTACCTTGAATCTTCAATAGTCTACGACCGACTACTCCTTGCGGGATGAAGATGGCTGATGCTGAAAGGAACCAGCAAAGGATGAGAGAAAATGGAGGTTTGGTTACCATTGCTTTCTAAGTTGGATGCCTCCCAATCCCCCAGTCCAATACTGTTATGTTTCTGATATGCTCTTCTTATTGACTCACACCAAGCTTTAAATACTACGCCGATGATTTTCTCACCGCCCAATATTTACTATCTTCCCCCTTTATTTTTGGTAAATGCAAGCTTTTTGGGTTTCTTTCAATTCAAGAAAATATTAATTAACGAACGTATATAAAGTTGAAGTGATATGTAGTTGTATAAATCGATTCATATAATTATTTTTTAAAAATAATATATAATAAATATAAATTTTACATCTTAATATTTATTTATTTTTATTTATGGATTTTGACTTTTTTATATTAAAAAAAGTTAAAGTAATATTTATATAAAATTTGTTATTATTATATTATTTTTTCTTAAATTTATTGAGAATAATATTTTTTAATTAACTTTTATCAGTTTTTATAAATACCAAATTAACCGGATTTTTTTTTATATAGTGGTCTACTCCTTGGGTCAATGACGGCTAAAATGGTTTATTCTCCCAAAATTGATTGGGGCTGACTTGGCGTTTTCAATTCGGAATTTCACGTATAAAACAGAAACATGTCGCTTTGGGACCGAGTTTGGAATTAATGACATGCTGGTATGAACGTTACGCAGACGGTCAAACGCAATTGTAAACATTTTTTTTATAGAAAATAAAAGAAAATTTAATACAAGATATTATAATATTATATTTTTAGCAAAAAAGAATGATATTATAATATTATATATTTTAAATTTCTATTCAATTTAACCAAAAAATTACATAAAAATATATGTTATCTTAAAACTCAATTATCATATTATTTTTTTTCTTTTATATCAAATAGTGTGTAAAAATAAAATAATTAAAGAGAAGTTGGATAAAGAGAATGTGCTATTGATGTTAGATTAAAAAAGCTCTAATTCAAAACATAAAGTTCGGTAATTATTGTAAAAAATATTATTCTTACGAATACTTATAAAAAAAAAACTTACATCAATATAAAATTAAAAAATTTTATATATATTTTCAATCTTAAATATCATAAAATCTAAAAATGAAATTAAAATTTAAAATAATTCACTTTATCTCATATTTTTGTTATATTAATAAACGCAATTCTTTCCGGATCCTTTTTAAAAATCATATGTTAATATATTTTTTTTTCAGCAGCAAATCTCTCCCACAATCAATTAGTCAAGTGTCTTATGTCACATTGTTTTTTGCAAAAATCAAGTAATTCATAAACATTAAAATCACATGTTAATTTTTTTTTTCTTTCATGAAGCTAAAATTTCTCCAAACAATCAATTAGTCAACCAATCATGATATTAATTTATTTTGCGTACATATATCCTTTCACATTATACAAAGAATTAATTCCTTTTTTTTTTAATTACAAAGAAGGGTTAGTGCATTTAAAGGGGGAGGGAGGATGGCAAGGGCGAACCCACGTCCACATGACTTTTAACTCATCTTTTAACCATTAGGTTAAAGGAAGAAAGTCGAATTAATCCCTATTTAAACCTAGCTTTGGTAACAAAGTTGAACAAAAATTGTATCAGTAAACTTTCCTATAATATAACAATTCCAGCTTCGTTTTTGTTAAAATCAACTTGCGCATTAATTTTAATAATAAGTAGATTCGGTCAAAATGATTGCATCTTTGAATTCATTTTCAAGTCTTAATGTAACTTATTAATTTTAATTAGCAATACACATGATTTTTCACAGGTTTCTGGTATTTGAAGCAATTTCAAAAAGGTTACTGAAAGTAACAGAGGTAGAGTTTGAAAAAAGAGCTACTTATAAACTAAAATAAAAATAAATCATTGCACTTTATATTTGGTAAAACTGATTTGCTAATTCATAAAATAAGAAAGAAAGAAAAGAATTATGATAAATGAAACACACAAGAAACGAAATATAGATAGAGACCAGATGCATGTTTTCTAATAAAATTGTCGATTTCCAATAGATACACATTTTATACACTTAAAAGCCATTTATATGGTCCAATATTCATTAGATCGAACATATCCAAAGGAAAAGTTGTAATTAAATTGCAAACAGATTGATAGGTTGAAGAACGATCATATGGGAGTAAGTCTGTAAGTGCTTTGATTCTGTTAGCCGGCCTTCCAATATTATTGTAATTCTACGCACGTATTCGCACACTGTTGAAACTCTAACAAAGACAGCACAATTACACTGTTGAAACTCAAACAATGTTAGTATGATGTAATTTGGTGACCTTAATGTTTAGTTTCTGCTCATGAAAGAAGAAAGAAATTGTGTTGCAACTGCTACTGCTGGATTCAGAAAATGGGGCTCTTATTTTAGAAAAATTAACAAATTTTTTTAAACATAAGATTATTATTCCACCTTTACTTTGAAATAATAGGATGCAATGTACACGAATATATTTTCTAATAATTGTGTCGGTGTATCAGTATGCAAGTACGTGCATTTCCTATATCTCTTGCTGTTCTATTCGTTTGAATCCCAATTTATTATAGTAACTAGCTAGCAGATAACAAGGTTTGCTTGTGGAGGGGTTTTCTATTGGCTATGGTGGCAGCCATGCTTTGTTTGATGGTATAGCTAGGCGCATTAAACTTTCTAGCATCTTGGGCTCACATATCAAATGGGAAAGAAGCAAGCCCTGGCAAAATTCAGCCAGATAGATCCGCAAGGTGGACTGGAAGTAGTCAGAAGCCATGGAGAAGGAAACTATGGACACCTGGAAAGCACAATCAATTGCTCCAAATGCTCTACATTTGATGTTTTATATGATTCATTTAAGTTTATGCTTAATTGACCTATTCAATATATAGCAACTCTTATCTGCATAATCCAGTACCACTGAAGCAGTCCTTTGAGAAATTAACCTAATCTACTTGGTATTATTACTTCATAAGGCTTAAAGTTCACACCAAGCAGCAAAAGATGAGATTACCGATAAATATATATATATATATATATATATATATATATATAATTGTATGCCAAGCCTCTTGAGGCCTGGGATAAGTTATTCCCCTCTATGCGAGAAGTAACCATTGTTTTGTGTCGGACTGGTCGAGATTTCGTTTCCATGCTCTTGATTTGGGATGGGGAAAGGCTTCTAACTCAGCTGCCTTGGAAACTCCAGTCCCGCAAAATGCTTTCCTCAGGGACGTAGCTAAGGGGGTTGACAAGGACCATGATCCCCCAAAAATTTATTTACGCCATTGTAGCAGAATACTTTATCCCCTCAAAAATAATACTTAATCTTATTTTTTTTAGTAAAATTACTATTTGACCATTTTTTTTCTCGTATTTTTGGCTTCGTTTCTAGCTTTCCTAATAGTAAATCTTGAAGAACCTGGTAGATTCCTAGTTCGGATTGGTATTGGAAGACAATATGCGCATGATCTTATCACCAATTTCAATAATCTAAGCTACATATAGTTGAGAGACAATCCATCTGGCTCTAAGCTTTATCATATTATTATAGTTTAATATCATTATGAAATTAAACTCCCCCATCAAAATAATCCAAGCTACATATATTTAATCCACCCACCTCAATTAACATTAATTCCCCCACACATTTTTTTTAAATTGTGCCCAATTTTGAAAATGCCACTTTGGGGTTTCAAGAAATTGTTTAACTTTTGTTGCTTTTAAGATATTGCATGGACTCTTTCCTTAAAAGTGAACTGATTTACTTTGGGATATCAAGAAATTGTTTAACTTTTGTTGCTTACAAGAAACTGTATAGCTTTTGTTGCTTACAAGATACTGTGCAATTGATACAATGCTTGAGTTACCTTCTCTTCTATAGCTCAAAAATTATTATGCACAGAAAATTTTCGAATTTGTATTTCACTAATTTAAACACTTTTATCATAATTAATTAGGTGGTTTTAAATATATATATATATATATGAAAATTTTGTTATTTTTATTGTCATATAATACATCTAAGGATGGCAGTCCAATTTGTCTCAGGCGGTTTTGATCCGACCCAACCTCTTAAAATCTTTTTTTTTTTTTAAATTAGGTTTAAAGTCAAATCAAGTTAAATAATAATAAAAAATTATTTAGATTAGATTTTAAGCAAATATGTTCCGATCCAATTTGATATATATATAAAAAAATTATTTTTTAATTATTTGTTTAATTTTTATTTATATATATTTTATATTTACATTAAAAATAATATTTTTTAATTTTAAATCAAATCGAATCAAATACAATTTTATATAATATCAAATCAAGTCAAATTCAGAAAAAAAAAAAATCACCGATCAATTTAAATTTGGATATTATAAGTATAAAATTGGATCAACTTTAAGACGAGCTAAAACTCACCCGACTTGCCCATTGTCATCCCTAAACACAACCCAATCGATTTTTTTTTATCTCATCCTATATTGTAATATGATCATAAATTTATAACTATTTAATTATCAACAATTATGTGATTTATATTTTAAAAATAATAATCATATAATTTATAGATTTTTGAATTTTTAATGTTAATGATCAAATATCAATCTTCAACAATATGTAAACAAAATAATCGAATGTTAGCTGGGATTTAAATAAAAAAAATTGAGATTTGAATCCTAATGTTTCCTTTTATAATTTTTTTCTACCAAAAAAAGTATTGCTCTAATTATAGGAAATATTTTTTTAAAAAAATTATTGGTAATACTCTAGAGTTACCATTTTTGGCCATATTTCTTTACAAGTTCATCCTAATCAGCTGGATTTTTTTCTTATAATTTTTTCTACAATTTGAATTAAATTATTAAAAAAAATTAAAGCAAATCTCATACAAAGCTTATAAGAAGAATTTTTTTTTTTAAGAGAGAAATGAGAATGGAGAGGGGATTGCATTCTGGCTTTTTTAGGAAGGTAGGACCACTTTGCATGTGCCAATTATTTTCTTTCCCTTTCTCGAGAACCAAACAGTACATACTAATATCTAACAAATGAAAGCAACTCTATCTCACTTTTTGCTTCCAAAAAGAAACTTTAAAATGCTTTTTTTTTTTGACTTGCCCCACTTTTTTCTCTTTCTCTCCTCCTCTGTCCCCGTCGTTTCACTCTCTCAATCACCTCTCTCTCTTTCTCTCTTTGACTCTTCTTTTTGAGTTTGGTTGATCTTATCATCATTGCCCCGTAAACCCTAGAAGAAAACCATTTAGTTTAAGTAACATAAAGTTTGCAACTTTCCTTTCAAATTCCCTGACTTTTTCTCTCAATTCTCCCAAGAGAAACAAAGAAGAAGAACAATGAAGAAACCCCATTTTTTGTGTTGTCTTCTTGTTAGGTCTCTTTCAGTCCTTTGCTTCTTTGCTTTGCAGGTCTCTTCTCAATCTAACCCTGACTCTTCAGTCATGGAAATGCTAAAAACAACCCTAAAGATCCCATCTTCTGTTGACTGGTCTGAATCTGACCCTTGCCGATGGGCTCATGTTAAATGTGAAAACAACCGGGTCATCAGGATCCAAATACCCAGCAAAACTGTTGGTGGAATGCTTCCTCCTGATCTCAAGAACCTGTCTCAGCTTACCGTCTTTGAAGTCATGAACAACCAAATCAGTGGACCAAAACCAAGCCTTGCTGGGTTAAGCCAGTTGCAAGAAGCTAACTTTCACAACAACAATTTCTCTTCTTTGCCTTCAGATTTCTTCAATGGTTTAACTTCATTGAATTCTGTTTTTCTTGACTACAACCCTTTGGAACCTTGGGAGATTCCAGAGAGCGTAAAGGAAGCAACTTCTTTGAAAACTTTCTCTGCCAACAAGGTTAATATTAAAGGGAAATTTCCAGGTGTGTTTGACCCTGTTACTTTTCCAACCTTGACCGACCTGCATTTGACTATGAACAATCTTGAAGGAGAACTGCCTACCGAGTTGGGAGGTTCTATGATTCAGTCTTTGTGGGTTAACAGGCAGAGTTTGAATGGTACAATTGAAGTGATACAGAACATGGCTTCTTTGACAGAGGTATGGTTGCACGGGAACCAGTTTTCAGGTCCCTTACCTTAGACGAATATTGCTCTAACCTTAGACCAAGATAGTAGGAGAAATATGGCAAGAGGAGTCATCCAAAAAAAAAAAAAAATGGTTGACCACACACTAACTACGGAATAACTGGTTTCTGGTTACCTGGTATTAACATTGTCTTAGAGTACAGCTTCTTGTTGACATCCTCTCCATCATATCCCAAATTTCTCTCAAATTGATGTAGCCAATGTTATAGCAACTGAACAGTTCATAACAAAACTTGTTGGAAAGCTGAATACACCAATCCAATACTTGGGCACATTCTGCCATTCCGCCATTCTCTATTTCAACTTCTATACTTGGAAACACATATGGTGTTTGGACATCTTCTTTAACTGAAATGGGCTTTTCTTGTGTTCAGTGGGGATTGAAATTAGTTTTCTTATTGCTTCATACCTTGTTAAGCAGCATTTCTTGCTAGGTTTCCTTGTTTGCCTAACAACCTGATAACCATAAGTTAAATGTGGTTTATTTCTACAACTGTTGCCTGTGGTTCGATCTGATTGCTAATTTTCTCTGAGAATCCTCCTTTACATCCGAGACAAATAAATTTGAATACTAATCATTAAAGAAGATAGGATGTGGATATAATATAATGTCATGAACTTTTATTTCAGGTTTGAGGCAACCCGTCGAATTCGATTCGTGGAGAGTCAGGAAAATAAACAGTTGAATGGAGGCATAGATGAAGGGTCTGGCAGGAAGGGTGCCTGGCATGTGCCAACGTTAGCCATGACAGCTGATGTAATTCATAAAACCTATGATGAGTGCCTGAAATGTGGGATGGATGGATATGTTTCAAAGCGCTTTGAGGAAGAAAATCTCTATCAGGCTGTAGCCAAGTTCTTCAAAGCCAAACGCATCTCAGATTCATAGCGACAGCTCCACCCTCCTCGGAGAGCAGACAAATCGAAACTGAAAAATATATGCAGGTTGGACTTTACCAGCAAATTTTTCCGATCCTGCTGGTGCATTTTGGTTTAATCACTGCTTGGTTTGCTCGGATTTCTGAGAATAATTGAGCATCGAAAGCATGTTGTGGCAATATTTCTAACCAACTTCAATTTAATTTAATTTGATTAGAATTTCTGTACTTGTATACTGCCACCGGAACTCCATCCCAATCTGTTTGTATAGATCTTTACAAGGGGATGGAGTCAAAGGTGTGAATCTCATTTTCTCTCGAGACTTAAGCACACATCCATTTGGAAAGGGGTCCTGCCTTGATTTTTTTTCCTTTTTTTATAAATTTTGTTGTAAACAGTTTGTTATTGAGTTTTCAAATATCAGATTCTTCTTGTGTTCACTGTATTTTCTTTCATCAAATATTGAAATAAAAGCTATATATATAAATAAAAGGTTTGAACATAAAAAAAATACTTATAGTTTTCCCTTCTAAATTTCTAATAACAACCAAAAAGACAGGTGTGTGTCTTGTAAATTTTGGCAGGCAAATGTAAACATCAGTAACGAAGTAGATAATACACTGGCGGATCGCAAGAGATTGTTTATTGAGCTTTTGTTGGGTGGGTTTTATATTAAGGAGCTCGACAACGACTATAGGTGGCGCAACCACGTTTTGCAGGGTTTGATGGTCGGTCGTAGGTAACGTAAGGTGAGGTTGGAGGAGAATTCCGGCCAGGCTGGCCAGCCCAAGATGGCGCTGCCGTTGCTGTACTTCCTCTTATTCCCGCTTTGCTTTGTCCATTGTCATCTTTTGCAATTCCAAACCATTGGAAGTTGGAGATATATTTAAAAGATACAAGCAAATCACAATGCGTTAAGAAAAGAAGTTCGTCACGTACCTTGAATCTTCAATAGTCTGCGGCTGACTACTCCTTGCGGGATGAAGATGGCTGATGCCAAAAGGAAGCAGCAAAGGATCAGAGAAAATGGAGGTTTGGTTACCATTACTTTCTATGTTGGGTGCCTCCCAATTCCCGAATCCAATACTATTATGTTTCTGATATGCACTTCTTATTGACTCACACCAAGCTTTAAATACTATGCCGATGATTTTCTCACCGCCCAATATTTACTATCTCCCCCCCCCCCCCTTTTTTCTTGGTAAATGCAAGCTTTTTGGGTTTCTTTCAATTCAAGAAAATATTAATTAACCAACGTATATAAAGTTGAAGTGATATGTATTTTTATAAATCATTCATACAATAATTTTTAAAAAATAATATATAATAAATATAAAGTTTAAATCTTAATATTTATATATTTTTTATATTAAAAAAAGTTAAAGTAATATTTATATAAAATTTGTTATTATTATATTATTTTTTCTTAATTTTATTGAGAATAATATTTTTTAATTAACTTTTACCAGTTCTTATAAACACCAAATTAACCGGAATTTTTTTTTTTAAAGTGGCCTCCGCCTTGGGTCAATGACGGCTAAAATGGTTTATTCTCCCAAAATTGATTGGGCCTGACTTGGCGTTTTCAATTCGGAATTCCACGTATAAAACCGAAACATGTCACTTTGGGACCGAGTTTGGAATTAATGACATGCTGGTGTGAACGTTACGCAGACGGTCAAACGCAATTGTAAACATTTTTTTTTGTACAAAATAAAAGAAAATTTAATACAATATATTATAATATTATATTTTTACCAAAAAAGAATGATATTATAATATGATATATTTTAAAATTCTATTCAATTTAACCAAAAAATTACATGAAAATATATGTTATCTTAACACTCAATTATCATATTATTTTTTTTCTTTTTTATCAAATAGTGTGTAAAAGCAAAATAATTAAAGAGAGCTTACTATTGATGTTAGATTAAAAAAGCTCTAATTCAAAATATAACGTTCTGTAAAAAATATTATTCTCATGAATACTTTTTTATAAAGAATTTACTTTCCTCGATATAAAATTAAAAAACTATATATATATTTTCAATCTTAAATATCATAAAAACTAAAAATGAAATTAAAATTTAAAATAAATTTTCAATTAAAATTATCTCTTTCTCGATTTCTTTTAGCTTTTACTTTATCTTATATTTTTGTTATATTAATAAACGCAATTCTTTTTCAAATAAGGATTCTATTTTAAAATCATATTAGATTTATATCCGCATTACATGACGGTGTTATTATTAAAATAATAATATATTAACATATGTTAATGTCAGTATTTATATATGTTTTAATAAATAAAACACACAAATAGTAATACTTGCAGAATAAAAATTATCTTAATTGCTAACAAGAATCACAAAACAATTAATCATATATACAAAACAAAGTCTAAAAACTTCACTTTCTTATTATTAGAAATTAAAAAAGTAACTTGAAATACAATTTAATAATAGAATGCACAAAATAAAAAATTAGAGTAAGATATTACCTATGGCATTATAGATGACATTGAAGTTTTTTGATAAATCTTCAAAGTTCTTCTATGTGTAATAAATAGTCAAGGCATGATTGGAACTTCTCTCTATGATAAAAAAAAATTAAGCAAAGGCATGGTAATCTAAATTCTTGCTAATTATATTATGTGCATGTCTAAACCCTAGTTACTCCCAATAAACTCAAGAAAGATGAAATTAAAGCGGGAAAAATTTAATTAAAAATGAACTAAATTTTGTTAAAGCCATATAGCATTGAGATTTCATTCACTGTAAAGCCAAGACCCAAATTCAAGCCTTGATTAGTTAATCGACAATAGAGATAGAGATATCTCTAGATTGAGAAGCTTTCATGGCTTATCTTGCTTGAATGCAACCCGCTAGATTATCAAGCATGCCCTTGCTACTTAGTTTTTATGATGCTTGTTGTGGACATAATGTTTTCATGGAAGAATTGTAATGGCTATGTCGTTAAGTAGGAACCAATGGCTATACTTTAAAGGTTGTGATACAACTTTTCATTTTTCACTAGTGGAAGAACACAATTCCAGCTGCTTTGCTTTTGTGTTCGAGATTTGATACAACACAACTTTAGATCTAATCCATGCAAGAACCTTATAAACTGCAAAATCAAGCTAAAGCAAAGAGATGCACACCGCTAATCTGCCTACATTTCTTTCTTCCTCTGGCCCTCCCAAAAGAAACATGTGAGCCTAGCATCTGCAATAATAATATTTTTAAAAGACACATAACCAAATTATATAACATATGTAACAATAATTTTCATCAAAGTAAATAAATAATTTATTGAAACTGATCAACTCTAGATGCATAAAGTAGAATACTTCCCCGTAAATTCAAAAGCTCAACAATTTACTAAAAATAGATCCAACTATTAGCTATTTTTAATTTGTAACCATAACTAAAAATACTTAAGCTTTGAGTTTAAAGATTTAGTTACATAGTTTTAGTTATTATTAAAAAGTAACCAAATAGATCGAACCAATAATTCAATTTCAACTCAAATGCACTTGAAATTTAACAATTCACATGAAGCTATTTCCACAAAATCTTTGGTGAGATCGAACTATTTTCCAACGTAGCTCCTTCATATAAGAATTCACCTCAAAACTTCAAATTCACATTAACATAGTAGAATAGTCAGTTTTCTATTTCTATTTAACAAGACATTGTTATTTTCCTTCAATAAAATAAGCAGAGTTAAGTATTCCCTCATCTTACTGAAGACAGCTATTTGGACAAAGTAATGCCAGTAAGTAGTTATTTACTCCAAGTTCTAGTTTCAATTTTCCAGCTTCAATCGCTTTTAGAATTGATAATCTGATAGTCATTGCAAATTTTCGTTTACAAAACCCAGTCATAATCAATAAAAGTGTAAAATACCAAATTAAGAAGAGGGGTATTGATTTATTAGGCGTGGAGAGTTCTGGACTTTGGTTGAAGTAGGCTACAAAGCCGAAACAAATTCTACAGTTTCGTGGCCAAAGGACATTTCTGTGGCTTCACGGGAAAACTTTTAAGTCTACAACCCAAATCCCAATACTGAATTAGAGCAATCAAGGTCACTTGTATTCCTATAGATCCAATGAACACGCAACAGCTCCAGGAAATAAACAGTAATGACAGGAAGAAATCCATGAAGTATAATCATCAATAACCATTAAAGCCCTCATTCTTATTGCTCCAACCAATGAACTCCATGAAAGTAGGCAATGAGCTAACCACTAATTATTAAAAAAAAAAATTGATACTCCATCTTTCCTCATTGTTCTTGGTTTTTGCACATGGAAAATGCTAACCCTATTCTGTGGAGAGTTATGGTGTTCACCTTTTCATTTACCAATAGTTCTCTTTTACAATTTCTTTGTAATTCTGTAATGGCCTTATGATAGATATAAAAAGAACTTCAACACAGTGTTTTCATCCAAGAACCTGTCATTAACACTACAATTTGCAATAGTAATAAAAGTTGAATTATTAGAACAACTAACTAATTGCCTTCATTTATTCTATTCTATAAAACTCGGATGTAAATATGTAACCAACTGTTTGTTTACTATTGCAAACAATGTCTATTCTTTATAACTCTGCTGTAAATATGTAAGCAACTATGTAAACAATTAATTAGTTTAATTGCAGTACTAATGTCTATTCTATATAAAGTACATCTATTTGTTTAATTGCAGTACTAATGTCTATTCTATATGACTCTGCTGTAAACATGTAAGTAACTATGTAAACAACTAATTAGTTTTATTACTATTGCAAATTGCAATGCTAATTAATTGCTTTCATCTATTCTATTCTATATAACTCTGCTGTAAATATGTAAACCACTATTACTCAAAGTTTCCAACTCCAACTCTTGAGACACCCTATACCATGAAGAAAGCAAATATGTAAACAATTTTAGAATTGAAGCAAAAATAAAATCTAATCATATACTTGAGTTTTACAAATGAAAATATCAAACATGAAAAAG